ATTCTATAAGTACTCAGTAAATGTCCTTGAATAATGTAAGAACAGGAGGAGAGCCTCTGTATTATACTCATCATAAACAGTTGACTGTATATAAAACCTTTAAATCCACTTGCACTACAAATGATCAGTACATCTTCCATTGTTTATGCCTTTTTAAGCCAAAACTTCTTTTATAGCACAGAGCAGATAAGTTCTTAGTTTTATGTTTGCTTGTTTTGTTTTGTTTTAGGAAAGTCTTCTCTAAACATTTTTTTTCCAGTGCCGCAATTTTCTGACCTCTTTAACACGACCAGACTTTCTGGAGGCCATTAACCATCCTAATCTGTGTCTGAGGGATATTTTCCTCCGGGGTGGGGGGTGGGGGGAAGGGGGGCGGGGATCTGGTGGATCCAGATGGGTCCCTAATATTTTGTCCTTTCATTGAAATAAATTTCTAGGACGTGCCAGGTCGTAAAACTAGGCAAGCAACCTTCTAGAACAAAACCCCGAGATGAGTTTCATGTGAAATAAAAGGAGTTGATAATGAGCCAGAAAGAATCATGTTGATAAAACCATCCCATATCTAAATGGGAGATTAGATTCCTGTTTGACCTGGCTTTGTAGCCCTTTCTTTAATCACAGAGTATTTGATATTCTCTTCCTTGAATGAACTCATTTTCATCGTGGCTTTGGTCACAAGATTAAAGAATCGCTAACTAATTGTTCCAAATAAGCAGGGCAATTCTCCTGGACTCTGATCTGGCTCCCAGCGGCGTCCACCGCCGGTCTTCCGTCATACACACTTCAAGCCTGACCTCTGCAGGTGGATAACTGAAATGCACACCACCCAACCGGACTGCGGCCTTTCTTTGGAAAATCCCACCAAATTCTCAAAATGCAAACGCTCACACCAAGTACAACATAGATATTGATGTAATATGTTGGCTTTCCCTTTCATTTCATAAGTTGCTTTTTGGAAGTAGCAACCGTTTGACTGGAAAGCATTTAAATTTCATCTGCAGAATACTTGGGTCGTGGCTAACCACTCATTCTTTTTGCCCATCGAGAAAAAAATCCACATGATTTGGATGAACTGGGATCCTCAGATCATGCGGGTTAAAAATGTCCTGATCGGCCTCACCTTTTCCTCATCGAACAAATTGAATGACTCTTTGTCGGGTGACCAATCCCGCCCCCCCTTCACAAAACACCGTGCAGTCCAGGTTGCCATAGCTACCTTGGATGTCTATTTACCACACAAGGGATCAAAGCCAGGAGACATCCACATACACACTTAGCCTTAAAACTTGCTGGAATGTCTGCGGATAACATGCACCTACCAATTAAAGGATTTGCCCACAGCCTATGCGGGCCATAGCCAAGCAAACTACGAACCCATGTCCTAACGAATGGCAAGGAAAAGCCGACTTGAATATTTCAAAACGACCAATAAGAAGCTTTAATTGACAGCAAGTCCTATGGTTAATAAATTCCCTGCAAGGGAGAGAGAGCAGGGAAGGCATGAACATTTCAACGTGTGTCGAAGACCCTGGACCTCCAAACCAACCTCCAAACCACGTGCAAAAACTTGAAACAGCTGTTGAAAGGGAACATTTCTCAGATACATATTTGAAATTCCGGTTAGTTAGCATATCTTTCTATCTCAATGTTGGGACAAATGAGAACAGAAATGCCTTTTAAACTTTTATAGGCTTGACTTTCAAATGAAGGGAACCATAAAACATACTTGGGACGCTACGTGCTGGTTACAGACCAGTAAGAAAAAGGACGCTGTAGAAGGGTCCTGTTTTAAGCCCTGTCACTTCTGATTCCGAGCCTCGGGCGCACAGGTAGCCTGTCTTTCGGAGTGGGTAGGATTCATGGACAGAAGCGCACCTAATTTGCTGTGTGTCTTTTATGCTTCACCCTTCTCTGCCTTCACCTCACCATTTGTTCAATGAGGATCAAACTGCCACCTCGTTCTCTCCTGGGGATGTGACAGAGAATAAATAGATCATGTTCGTAAAGGACTTCCTAATCCTCAAAGGAAAGATTAATACAAAGACATTCATTATTAAACCAGATGTCCTTGGGCATTTTAATTCCAATCTGAAGAATGCAAAACAGGCGAGTCACAGCTTCCTTGTAATAGCACCACGCTAGCTCTGCAAGAATTGAGCAGCTGCTTGAAGCATTGGCTAACTACCTAATTTTTTCCCTTCACACTGGAAGGCACCCTGTAAGGTGATGATTTGTTTTAGTCTATCAGAGATCAGAGTGGGCACCTTCTCCTCCTAGAGCGTTTTGGAAAGTCATCAGGATATTAAAAACACAAAATAGGTCTGGTAGGCAGTTCTGTCTGGAGAAGCTGATTTTTTTTTCCAGCCCGAGAAAGAATTATTTGTTCTTCTCATGTGCAAGGACAATGAGTGGTGCGCTATTTGGGGAGGATATTTGCAGTTGCGGGAATGCCACAGGCAAACCTGTTGTTTTTGGCTGGGCCTCTACAACAGGTGGCCATGCCTTTCCTTTTGCCTGGGAACACAGCAAATTCCTTCTCAAGGAAGTTTCAGGAAAGTTTCCCATTTATGATCAGAGTGCAGAGAAAGATTGGCACACACGTTGAAATTACTTCCTGATAAAGGCAAACCAGGTTTACACTTTGCTTTTGTCCTAACTCAGCGTGACCTTAGGAACCCTTAAATAATATTACCCTTCTATGTGGGTTTTTTTTTTTCCCTGCCACCCTGGCAGAAAGCAAAACCCCTCTGAATCTCATCTCCAGGCAGGCAACTTTCTAATTCTGCTGGCAGCTCCTGGCTACCTGCTATGCCTGGTACGTGGCAAGGGCCTCTTGGCTGCCGCACCATTGCTCAGGGTTGTGCAGCCCTCGGGACGGATCACTCCTCAGCGAAGAGATTGGATTTCATTGCGGAGCTGATGACACACGGACCTGCTTGATAGTTAACGCTGCAAATCCGGCTGGGGCCGCCGGGCTGGGATGGCAAATTGGCTGGTGGGTGCGATTCACCCAGCCTGGACGCAGCAGTTTGCCCCAAGAGAACCTCAAATAAAGTTAGGATTAATCCACACCAATAACTCCACCATCCTCTCTACATTGTTGTTCTGGCTGCTGTGGAACAATGTGCTAGATTCCTGAAACGCTGGGCTGCCCTGATTCTTTGGGTGAGCAATGAGTCTCCCCCTCTGCCCCCCTTCCGCCCACTCCCCCCCACCCTGAGACATCCCACCCCCACCGCACCCTCCGAACAGGCCAGAAAATTATTAGACACACAGAGTCAGAGGATTAAAAAGTCGTTCATTCACTAAGTAACAAAGGAGTTATTACATGCGTACCCTTAAAACTTCAATACCGGGCTGAATTCCAATTCACGCGAATGCCACAGCGAGCTAGGCATGGGGGAAGTCATGCCAAGCCGGACAGCATGCCTCTGGCATCAGGCACGGGGAGTGCCGCCGTTCCACAGGGATTGTGTGGGAACAGGGATTCTGAAAATTGAGCTCAGACATCACCAAGGAGAGGACAGGTGGCCCTGCACAGGATCAAATGACTCCTTTGTTCCAGCTAAGGACCTTTGTCAAAAATGTTTTGCGCTCCTCTTTTGCCTTTTAGATCCTTTCCATTTGGGCCTCTTGCTCCTTTCCTCCATCCCACCCGGCATAAAAAGAATGGGGTCAGTTGTGGGTTTGCACAACTGAAAGCAAGTGAGCCTTGGCCCCACAGCGTCCAGAGAGGCAAGGGCAATTCATTGAAAACACACACGGCACTTGCTCGTGTAAATGTGCTTCTCTGCACTCACGGGAACTTGCCTACCACGCCTGCTTGGGGCACAAGCGGCGGAGGGTCTTCGCGCCCGGCTCAGTAGGGGCTCCGCACCACCGCCCGGGGCGGCAGGAAACAGAGAGAAAGTTCTAAACCACCCCCCCCCGCGCCCGCCCCAAAAGGGAAAGTTGGCTTCCTATGCAAATCACTTATCCCAAAGTGCTGGGGGGGGGGGGTTGCCGAACCCATTTAGGAAAAAAAAAAAAAAGGCAGAGCTTTTCTGGTGGTGAGACAGATGCTAACTTTTCCTCCCCAGATTTGTTGAGAACTGGCAAAAGCAATTAACACCCTCTAGTAATTGTCTGCCCTGGGCAGCCTAGCAGCCTGTTCCCAGTCTCGTCTTCCCTTTCTAGGAGCAGGGGTCTTCCCGTGTACATATTGACATCAGAGTCTTCCGTGAGTTGGAAGAAGTTGGAAATTGCACCCTTGGCTATTACACCCTTGGCTTCGTACACCCACTTTTTTCTTTTCCTTCCCTAATGGTAAACCTCTGCCTGGGCTGATAAGGAATTTTATCATTCTGCCCCGAAGCCACGGAAGGAGCCGCCTGCTTAGAATTCCTTTCAAAGACTCATTTTAAGTAATCCCGAGCCTTGCTCAGCTCACTGCTTCGGGGTTGTCTTCTCACGTCCAGAAGCAACACAGTTTCAAAACTGCTGGAACAGAAAAATTAATCTGCATTTTTCTGGAAGGGCTGTCTGTGCTCATTTGAGGCCGGTTCCGCCTTCTCAGCCGCAAACGCAGTTAAGTGCTCAGAGTGGGAAGCCGAAATGAGATAAGACGCCCCGTGTAATTCTTTTTCAGGATATTCAGTTATCTTTCTTCTAATCCGAAGCGCAGGATGGAGGCTAAAAGCTCGAGATGGATCCTGCACAATACATTCCAGCGACTGCAAACTGGAATTGATTTACATATTCTACAAACCGCTTTTAAGCCCCTTACAATGACTGGCTGACATCACCAATCACCGTTAGAGGCAAAGTGGGGAGGGGGTAGAAGGGGGTGGGGGTGCGGGGGGGGGGCTCAGAAAATCGGCCTCTCGGGTTCCCTTCGGAAAATGCAGCCGCGACTCCAGGGCAAACGGCCGGACTTGGAGGGGCATGTGCTAGCCCGGCGAGCCCCAGCACCGTCGCGGGGGTCCCCGGCTGCGCCGCCCTCGCGGCCCCCGGGCGCTTACCTGCCTCATGTTTAGAATTCCATGACCCATCCGGCAGGGAGCGAGCTGCCTCGAAGCCCACGCCGCGGTCTTCAGAGGGGAAACACCAAACCCAACAGAAGCCCGCAAGACAAAAGCAACTCAGGGAGATCCACAGGCAGCAAAGAGCACGTTTTCTTCCTTTTTCTTTGATCTGTTGCTACACGCACTCTGCCCAAGACAATGTCAAGTTTCTCAAGCTTTTCTTCCCCAGCCTATGAAAAGTCGGGCTCAGGGAAGCGAGGACCGCCTGGCTCTTATTTCAAATCGGGTCTCAGAGACGTCGTAGGTGGCTGGCTTGGGCCCCAGAGGAGCCCCGCCAATCAGGAGAAAGGGGTGGGTCCTGGGAGCCAGAAATGCTGCCTCCGCGAGGATTAGAGAGCTTTCGGGATTTAAATGGCTGGAAGCAGCTGGAAACGCTGCGAACGCTCCCCAAGTAAAGGATGAGTTCTATTCTTATCTCCACGCTCTGGATCGGCTCAAAGCCTAACTCAACTAGCCCGGGCCCTAAGGCCTTTGGCTTTTAGGAGCTCCTTAAAAAGCACAAAGGCATTTGGAAGGTGCACAACTACTCTGGCCAGAAGAGTGCAACATTCAGGACCCACCCATATCTTGAAAAGGGTGTTTTTGCACCAAGTGCTACTTTGGCAAAGATGGGAGGGGTGGGGGGGGAGGAATCCAGATTGTTATGCAGAACACCTTAACTCAAACAGGCACCTGCCTCATTTCCATATAGATGAACTGTACTTCCAGTCTAAAAACAAACAAACAAACCCAAATCTAAATGGGAACTTGCGCACAAATCTGTTGAAATGCAACAAAGGACCAAGAATCTATCTGTTGAGGGCCCGAGGCATGATTTCAGATAATACTGTTACTAGAAAAAGAAACACTGATGTGTCCTTAAGAAGAAAATGTCTAAGGTAAGTGCACCTACTGCTCACTGCGGCTGCCTCACCAGCAGAGCTGATCTGGTGAGCTTATTAACCAACCGGGACCTAGCTGGCCATCCTCTCAGTAGAACTTAAACCCGGACTTAAAAAGAAGTCCCAAAGTTCGCTTTCTTGACTCTACATAAACAGTAACTTAATTCAACTCTTAACCAGTGTGATTTCAATGCAAATCTACCTTTGAATTTCAAAAAAGTGCAAGTCGACCAAAGACTACTTTGTGTAGCGCCAGTGGTATATATATATTCCTCCCCCTCCCCAAAGAAGTGACTAAAATTTTGTGAGAGTAATTCAGTGAATATTTTTAAAACCCTGTATCAGAGGCAAAAATACCAAGTTAGGGCATTAATGGTTTAGGGAGACAACTGCATTTGCCTTCTGCAGTCATCATCCCAAAGGTAAATGTGAGCTGGGATTTGCTCTCACCATCACTGTGCCCTTTCAAAGTTCCATCCATCTTTCTTCTCCTTCAGCCTACTCCCCTACCAGCCTACAAAGTCAAATGTCACCCCCTCTTCTGTGCTTTCCCCAATGCCCCAGGACAGATTAATCCCTTCCCTCCTCTATGCTCATAAAGCAGTTCACAGACACCCAGGTGGTGTGCTGGTAAATGTTTAACAACCGGCTTTCAAGAAAACAACAACAACAAAAAACCCCTGAGGATTTGGGGTTGGCCTTTGCCAATTTCCATAGTGTAAACACTCCCTCCTTTCCCACCATGAGGACACCGAACACCAAGTTGGAAAGAGTCGTGCCAAATCAGGAGATGATAAGCACCAGCTTGAGCAAACCGTAATACACCTCTGCTGTCACTTCCATGCGGTACTGTCATCATATACTCTCGAGTCTCTCTCCTGTTAAACTGTAACGCTCTCAAGGGCAAGGATGGCGTCCTATTCATCTTGTAACCCCAGCCATTTGCACTGTACCTGCTGTGTAGCAGGTGGTCAACCAATGTGCGTAGAGAGAAAACGCAATGCAATGTGCAGCTTCTCCGAGACACGGACACTCAATCTGATTGCTGCCACTGCCTCATCCACAGAAACTGAAACTCTTACGGTTACCTTTTTACCATAATGCTATATCTATTCTGTACTTATGAAAACAATAAGCATAAGCCATCTTCCATCCTAAAACTCCCACATCTGAGCACCATAAACAGACCAGAGTGAAAGACTAGAAGCCCATTCTAAACAGAGCCTCGGCTTCATGGATGTATTTGTGAGACACCATATTTTTTATGTTTTTATATGAAGGCATCACACGCTTTTGCATCCACAAACTTGCACATCCTATCAGCTATTGATTACAAAGATCTCCAGGAGGAATATATACAATAACCTCTGAGAGGTATATGGAAGGGCATTTCCACTGGTAAGAGAGACAGTAATTGATGATGGTCATCTCTACTCTCTTCTCATTATGCACAAAGACAGGAATGCTACTGGTGGTGTCGTTAACAAATAGCACTTACGAGTGCCTAGTGTGAGCCAAGCATGTTGCCAGGTTCTTTGCAAACACGCACCATTTTCTCTCCACCAAAATATCAAAAAAGTAGACATCACCATTGTTGGGCTAAGGTCGACAGACAAGATCACTGAGACAATGGAAATAACCCAAGATCTTATTGTTACAAATTGCTGTACCAGGAATCACTTGTTTGGGATTAGGATTACTCTGCGTTTTGTTAAAGTAAAATGTGCTGTCTCCAGAAGTGTTCCGGAAACGCCTAAAGAAAGTGGGTGGTGTAAAAAAATGAACTCTTTTTCATTTATAAATAAACAAATATAACTTTTAAAACTTCTTTTTTTTGGTATAATTTTTAAAACTTCTAAATGAAATAAATGGCCCCTTGAGGGTTGTCCATTAAGTGAGCATTCGATCCACTTATTGGGACCAGTGTGAGCAAGTAAAGTGAAACAAGTAAAGAAACATGCTTGACCAAAGGAGAAGATGTCCTCTCCTGCAGTGTGTGATAAAGAGTGTTTGCAAATGACAGCAGAAGGGATGTTGCAGTGTTGACGGATATTCCTTAAAAAGTAGCCTAGACAACAGTTCTGTGTAGTTATGTGCAGATTCGGTTATAAACAGACCTGCACAGTCAATATCACATAGGTGCCTAGGCACTTGGCCCTGGGAAGGCCCTACTGGACATGGGCGGGCATTCGCCTGGCACCTCACAGGAGAACTAGCAGGATGCATGCCCCCTCTTTCTGTGTTCTATCAGGGTCAAAGCACATGGGATCAGCACCTGTATAAGTAAATAATGGTTGACCAGCAGTAACTTTGTATAGTTTATTGAAATACCCATCAGGATGCACCATTAAAAGTCAGTGAAAACCAAGGTGAAATTGCCTAGTCAGCCACCTGGAAAGTATGCTTGATCAGAGCGCAGTCTTCTGAGTCTATGAAAAGTGTATTTCCTCTCCTTCAGAGGTTCCAGAAACCCAGTTGCTTTATACCTATGGCAGCAAAGGAAAATCTGAGGAATACTGTACTTGAAGTAATTGGTCAAGGTAGTTTAAGACAACAACAACACAAGGCCCTGGTTAGAAAAAGAAAAGCCCACCTAGAATTCTTACAGGATGTCACAGAACAGCAACAAGTTTCTCCTCGTTGGGTGTAGGTACTCATTACACCTGTTTCCTGGAGTTGGCTGATGGAAGCATTGTGGCTTAACAGAAGCACAGGTCATAGATGCCATTTGGAGTCCATTTTTGGTGTCATTGTGGCCGGTGAGCTGGCTGATGGACTTCAAGTAAACCAACTGACACCTGAAGGCCCACATTTTTCAGGGGAGAGTTGGGCAAATTATGGACTGAATGTTTGTGTCCTTCCCAAAATGCCTCTGTTGAAATCCCAACCCCTACTGTGATGGTATTAGGAGGTGAGGTGCTATCTTTGGGAGGCGAAGGTGGAGCTTCATGAATGAGACTGGTTTGTTGTAAAAGAGATCCCAGAGAGCTATCTCACCCCTTCACCTCATGAGGACAGCAAGAAGACAGCTGGCTGAAGCAGGAAGCAGGCTCTTACCTTCTACCCAATGTGCCCACCCCTTAATCTGGGACTTCCAGCCTCCAGAATGTGAGAAATAAATGTCTGTTGTCTACAAGCCCCCTAGTCTGTAGTACTTTGTGGTAGCAACCTGATGGATGAGTGGGAAAGGTTGTTGTAACTGTTGCTTGTGCGAATGTTTTGGATGACAGACTCTGGAAAGAAGGAAAGAAATCTGTGAATACAAACACAGAAGGAAGAGCCATCCTGTGAGAAATGGTTTTGGAGAATGTACGCTAAGGGCAGACTCGCAGACAGCCCAGAGCTGACTAACTGGTCACCGGTCAGGGTTTTCAATACACTGAACTTGATGTTTCCTCACTTGAAAATTAAGCAATTAAAACAAATCTTGCTATTTAAAATTTTAATCATAACTATTTAATAATTATAGAGGGGAAATATTTTGCTTTTAGAGGGGAAATATTTTGACGTTTCCTAGTTTTTGTTCATGGATTAAATATGGCTGATCCTTCATTACCTTCCTCTTAGTAAGGTGGTAAAGGTTTATAGATGAGCTTGGCGATGGTTTTTATATACTCCTCCTGCTGTCAGATATTCTCTACACTCCCAATGAAACCTTCTGCTTCATGTCAACACGCTGATATCCTACTTCCCCGAAGTAATTCTTCAATTTCTAAGTCATCTACTTTTTTTGCTACAATTTTGTGCTTAAATTTGCAAGAAGAAAGCTATTATAATAATTTATTTTGTACTTGTCTTATTAACCCCTTTCCTAGGCTCTGAGGTCAGTGAGGCCTGTATCAGTCTGGGTCCTCCAGAGAAATAGAACCAGTAGGATATAGAACATATATCTTGAAATTTATTTCAAGGACTTGGCTTCTGTGATTGTGAGGACTGGTAAGTCTGACATCCATTGAGCAGGCTGACAGGAGCTGATCCTACAGTTCTGAGGCAAAATTTCTTCTTCCGGGCAGCCCGGGTGGTTCAGCGGTTTAGCACTGCCTTCAGCCCAGGGCCTGATCCTGGAGACCTGGGATCCAGGCCCATGTCAGGCTCCCTGCATGGAACCTGCTTCTCCCTCTGCCTGTGTCTCTGCCCCACCCCCACCCTCTCTCTCTCTCTGTCTCTCACTAATAAATAAATAAAATCTTAAAAAAAATTTTTTTTCTTCCTCAGGGAAACCTCAGTTTTGCTTTTAAGGCCTTCGACTGATTGGATGCAGCCTACCCACATTCTCAAAGAGTCTAATTTGCGTAAAGTCAACTGATTAT